TAAATTAAATAATTTCCTATAATTCAAAGCAACAGTATTTAAAAAGGTGATTGTTAAAATATATAGTTTTTATATCTACATACTTCGAACTGATTTTGCTATGTATATATTACTAGACTTTAAATAACTAATTAAAATTTCAATTAGAAAATAAAAAACCGCTTTTATAAAAGATTTAAAGTAATGTGCTAATGCTGCTCATTTACCAACTGAATTGTAAACAATTCTACAAAAAGAATTTTTGTTTCTTGTACATTTTTCCAGGAAACTTTTCATTTTTAGCCGCAACTCTCTCAGATTACAGCGTGAAACCCCAAGCCGGGACAGTATCCAAGCAAATGACTACGATGGAGATGAGACTGGAATGCTCGGCAGTGCTCCGGCAGGCTGATGTGGCACTTACCTTTGGCGCTCAGCTTGCGCTTTGAGGCGGGTGCTGCCGCGAGTCGCGTTCCGCTGACACTGCGTTTCTGGCCGGGATCGGAGCGACGCTCCCTTGTGTTGGCCAGGGTGGCAAGCGGCTGATCGGCGCTCTTCTTGGCCACGTTCTTGCTGTTGTTGGTGCTGCCATTTTCGGCAGCCTTTCCCTGATTTCCAGTGGAGGCGGCTGCACTGGCTCGCTTCAGATGTGCCGGCATCCGTTTGGGCGGCTGCATCGAGCTGGTGGCCGCACCAGTTCCGGATGTCGATGCTGACGAGGTAGATGCTTGGTCGGCGGGCGGAGCTGGCTTTTGCGGTGACTTGAGCGTCTTGGGATCCTCCTGCTTCTTGTGCATGCCCACGTCCAGCCAGAACTTGAGTTGCTCCTCGCGCTGGCGCTGCATCAGCTCCTGACCGGCGGCGTACTTGCTCAGCAGGCCCTGTAGCTTCTGAACCGTCTTGTAGACCGTCTCGGCCGCAATCAGACCGTAGTCGAAGAGCGAGCACATGTGCAGGATGAAGTTGCGGTAGAGATTTTTGCGCACAATCTCGTTGCCCTTGGCGTCCAGGAACATCTCGCAGGCTATCGGCAGCTGGCAGTCGCCCACGAATCCGTGACGCATCACGTGCAGATTCCACAGCTTCATCAACTCCTTTTCGCCCTCGTTTACATCGGAAAACTCGTCGATCATCTGGATCGTCTTCTGGCGCAGCCACAGCGGATCGCTCTCGCCCTCCGAGTCGATGTCCAGTTCCTTTGGATGCACTGGCAGGCACGTCTCCGTGTGGTGGTAAAGCCTGCAAGCATTTGGAAGGGTGTTAGGGTTTGCAAAATTATTGAGCCAATTATTAGATAGTGCACTTAATAAATCTGTTTATATTAATTCTTTCTTTGTAAAGTTACGAAGTTGGGATTTTCTATGGGTTTTATTCTTAGCCAATCAGTCCGACCTATTAAATTTCATAAGGATCGGCCGACTATATCCTATAGCTCCCATATAACTGAACGATTGGAAATGCCATAACTTTGGTATTTGTTAAGTTAGGAAGTTGGGATTTTCTATGGGTTTTATTTTTGGCCAATCAATCCGACCTACAATACTTCATAAGGATCGGCCGACTATATCCTATAGCTGCCATATAACTGAACGATGGGAAATGCCATAACTTTGGTGTTTTTAAAGTTAGGAAGTTGGGATTTTTTATGAGTATTAAGAATGCATAATATAAGATAATAAGATAATTAAGAATAATTTTGGAGAATATAATTTATAGAGTATTCTGCAAGGGTATATCAACTTCGGCTCCGCCCGAAGTTAGCTTTCCTTTCTTGTTTATCTCTTTTTTTAAAGGGAAGCCTTAAATATTCTGAACTAGAAATTGGCTTGAACTTTGTTATTTTAGATCGTGTTGGTCCCTTACATTATCTAATCTTATTTAAAATATATATTTTTCTTTTCTAATTATGACATTCCAAAATGTGTATCCAAGCAAAGTTATGTAAAGACTGATTTCTGGGCATTTTGATCTGGCTTTAAGGGAAATTTTTTCAGTTAAATTAAAGATGATACCCTAAACACTATTAAATATAAATTAAGTTCAAACATGCAAAAAAATTCCTAGAATGACTAAAAACTTTTTGGAAAACTCTAAAAAAAATGGAATCGTTTTTGGAGTTAACAAATTCAAGCGTCTAAACTATGATGGCAACATGGCTGAATAAATCCTTTCCAATCTTTAAAATCAACTAAAATAGCTCTTACCTGTTGTGACCTGTAATGTACGAACGCTGATTGCTGATTTCGTCCTCGTCCAGCTCCAAGAACTCGTCCAGGCAGGTCTTTTGTCGCCTTGGCCGGCACACCATCAGGCTGGTGACCGAGGTGCGTCTGACAGGGCCGCAGGTGCGGGCAAACGACGAACCAGACGGTCCGGCCAGGTCATAAGGTGATCCGGCGTACGATCCATCGTAGGCATCATTGATGGTGACATCGATTCGCGCTCCACTTCCAGCCGGCTGGTAGGTGAAGTTAAAGCGGGCGTGGCAAAGCTTCAGGTGCTTCAGCAGGGCATAAAGACGCAGGCAGTCTAGTCCGCACCACGGACAGTTTAGTTCCTGTGTGTACTCCGTCTGCTGGCGCGTGTTGTTGCTGTACATGAAGTTGTACACGATCTGGATGTGCTCCGGCGTGGATTTGCACAAGGTGCTGCCACCGCCTCCATTCTTCAATCCATTGCAGTTATTGTTGTTGCTGTAGTTATTGTTATTGTGATTCATCTCGGCCACCGCATCCAGATGCTGGACATATCGCTGCAGTTCCGGGGCCGATATAATCTCCGGCAGCTGCTCATTGGATAGTGTCAGGTGGAACTTTAGCATGGGACTCTGCTGGTAGACATCGTAGGACAGCGAGAGTGGAATGTAGCTATCGGGCATCGTTTCCCATGTGCATTTCTTTGGTGAGAAGGACTTGATGCTAGTCGAATTCAGAGGCTGCAGCATTGCCTCGTACTCGCCTTCGGTAATAAAGCCGCTGGACTTCTCGTACAATATCAGCTCCGAGCCAAACATCTTCTCATTTCGACGCGACCGCTTGTTCGGGGGTGTTTCTATGGAAGAGGAAATAGGTTTAAATTAAGTGGACAGCGTAGGATGCGGGCTAACCCACCTGCATTCTCATCGTTGCACGTGCTTGGCGCCAGCACCTTGATGCGAAAGAGCAGCTTGTACAGTGTGTGCTGTTCACCCATGGGCCGCATCGTCTGCAGGGGAATGCTGATGGTGGCATGCTCTTCCACGCGATCCTTTGGGTTATAAATGATCTGTGAGCTCTTGCTCAGCAGCTCCTGGAAGTCCAGGGTGCTGTCCTTACGCTTGCTGCGCGTAATCTTGTAGAGCGTCGTCTCCACGCTCACAGGCTCGCCCGCCTCGCAGAGCAGCTGCTCCTGCAGAACCTCCTCTCCAGAATCGTTGGCCGTCGTTGATGCCGTCGCCGCCGCCTGGAGTTTTTCGTGCAGCGAATCGTAGATGACGTGGAGGAAGTTTTGGCTCACAGCCTCCGATTTCTGTGTTATGCTGTCCAGCATGGAGTTTACCTGAAAGCTGGTTCGCTTCTTGTTGTTCCGCGACATGCGTTCTTTCATGTAGCTGAGCGTTCGATTGAGGAAGATGGGCTACGCGTTTGGGGAGTATTTTATTATTAAGAGATTAAGTGGTTTGAAACGCTATTGGGGATATCACTGAAATCGCTAGCATATCGCTTGATTAAATAAAGTTGATATGAATCTGTTGTTCTCCAGAATTCTTAGTTAATTGCCAGGTTACAAAGTAAATTTGCTCACACTTTACGAACTCTTCATTACTTGAACACCGAAATATAAATTTTCGTTTGAATTCAGTTCACTATCCGAAATCTCAGTGTTCTAAAATTTCTACGTTTGGCTATGCTTTGGTACACATTTACATATGATTTAGGAAAGCCTATTTTGTAACAAAATGGAAGCGGTTTCTGGCACAGAGATCTGGCTGGTAGAGATTTCTTAGATATCCCCGATAAAATTGGAACACCGGGTATTTGGAAGAGATGTCTGGGGCCTAATAAACTTACATTGGTCTCGTGTCGATTGCGCAGGTAGCGATAGATCTGCGTGGGCTCTGCAAAGCAAATATTTAGTGGATTGGATTTAGTGACCCACAGGTAAGACCATGGCTTTACTCACTCTCAAAGGCCTGCAAAAAGAGTTCCTGCTCCTGCTGGTGGCCATTGAGTTTGACCTGTCCCTCGGCCGCTGGCGGTACAGTAGAGCCTGCATTTGCCGCATCCGTCGCTCCATGGGACAGACAATTTAGGCCATTTGTGGTCGCGCCATCAGCATTATTGTCTTTCTCGCGTTTTTTCGCTGGTGCCATTGTGTGTGTGTGTTGTTGGCAAAGGGGGCGGGGTGGTGCGTGGGCGGTATTGGGGGAGCGGTACGGGTGCTCAACGGATCACAATTACAACCGCACGCACTCGCTTTTAATTTGCGCACATTTTCTCCACAACAGAGTCCATTAAGAATCGCGTTTTCTTAGTTTTTTGGAGCGCTTTGTGTGTTTTTGCCGTCTTTCTTTTCGGCGCGAAACCTTTTGCTTTTGTCTCAGCGTTATTATAGGCGTATTTGTAACGTTACGACTGCATGACGATTGGGTTTATAATTGCAACTCACTTTAACTAATGATTTATTTAAATAACGATTAGTTTATATGTAATAAACTTAATTTTAAACACTATTATTCGTTGCCAAGCAATGTAGAGGCTAGTTTTTTTTGAGTTTATCATGCGGCATTTATGTATCATGCAGCCCTCATGCAACGTTGTGCATTAGCCAACACTGCCTCAAAAAAGGGCTATCACAAATTGGGGTTGGCAATTCTTGAGAAAATTCAAATGCCCTGTGAAAACTATTTTTGGGTTTTTTGAAACATATTCTATTAATCTAACTATTATTAATTTCAAGTGAGCAATGAAAAACTATGGCCAGCTGTTTGATTCCAGTGCTGTTAAACAAAGAAATCGAAGCCATCTGGCAAAGCCATTCGTGCTGGTATATTTTATAAAATCATAAACGGGCTCACTTCACCATTCTCACATGCACACTGCCGAAATTTGTTAAAATTATTAACAACCGGTGAAATAACTGTTTGACTAAAGCCAACTTTCATCATAAACGCCTGCAGCACCAGCAACTCAATCAAAATGGACAAGAACAGCGCAGCGTTATACAAAAAGATGCAGACCGAGGTTGAGTCATACCAGAACCTGCAAAAATGTGAGTAAAATGGCAAGCCATCTGGTTGTAATTTACCATTTATATGGAATTTACATGATCCTCAACAGCCTGCGTCAAGATGGTCAAACAGCGGGCCATGCTGGAGAGTCAGCTGAACGAGAATAAGTGCGTCCTGGACGAACTGAATCTTCTGGGTCCCGACAACAAGGTTTACAAGCTTTTCGGCCCAGTTTTAGTCAAACAGGAGCTGGAGGATTCGCGCCAGAATGTCGGCAAGCGCATCGAATACATCTCCAAGGAGCTTAAGAGTTCCAGCGATACCCTGGAAAATATGTAAGTGGTCATTACCAGGATATGTCATCCTTATTATAACCTTTTGGCCTTCCGTTTTCCATTCTGTTTCAGGGAGAAGGACATGCTTAAGCATCGGGAAGCCGTGGGCAAATATCAACAGCAATGGCAGGTTGCTGCGGCCATGAAGTAAATATGTCCTGGACACAAACTATTTATAACTCATTTTGGAATAGCTTAATGGCTTTTGTAACTCATCTGGCACGACCGCTTCATTTTAAATCCAATAAACACAATGAAAGCTAATTTTGCAATATGATTTCGTTTTAGATTTCCAAGTTTTGTAATTTATTTATGTAGAAGACAGCCAAAATTTTAATACTATTGCCTAGACTGTAAATTAATAAAAAAAACTTAATTTCTAACGGCAACCTTTTTCTGGTTTCCCTGTAGAGGTCTTCGATATGTACAATTAGAACAGTTAAATCTGAAAGCAAACATAATTATATTTCCAATGTTATAGTACTTTTAATGTGCAAGCTTATAAAACATTAAAACCAGTTGGCCCATCAGAATTCGAAGAATTAAAGGGAATGAAAACAATTTAAAATATTTTGAATGAATTGGAGGGAGGGTCGGTTTGTTTATATTTTTAAAGGTAATGCGGAATGTCGTAAGCGTTGTTGTTTTGTGTTTATATATAAGCAAACAATTCTATGTAAAATTTTTTAAATTATATTAAAAACGGTTAAGGGAACTTCACTATTTATTCCAAAGCTGGTCACACTGAAGCTGAAGATAAGATTGTATTCACATATGTATTTTACTTTTTCATCTCATAGTTTACGTCGTAGAAGTGTTTTTTATATTGGAAACCAATTATTGCATAAAAGTGAATGGGATAATTCTCATTATTAATTGCGGGGCTATTAAACCAAGAAATTTCGCATAGTCAAATTGATCGCCATGAAACCTGAGACCTTAAACAATCTCTCGCGAAATGCTCGAGAATCATTGGATGGCTCAACCACGGAAAACAATTCGGTATTTATTAATAGTAATTATTTTAAGATCCTTATGGCAGATCTAATTTGTATTTCAGCTTAGCAGCGATTCGGATATTGAAGATTTGAGTTGTGGGACAAGCGATCAAAGAAGTATTGTGCAAGGATTAAGGAAGACCATTAAAAGGAATAAAACCAAAATAAACGACCTCGTTGCCAAGTTGACAATCGCCGAAATGCATTTAGCCAGTGAAAAGGAAAAGGCCATTTATAGGGACGATTTAATCAAGGCTTTAAAAATGTCAACCGATTTAGCTAATCAAACAAAAGACTTAAGCATTAAGCAAATGCAGAATAAAATTAATGAGCTTGAAAATGTACTCGATTTAAGCAAGAGTCGCTCTTTAGTTGAAGATATAGATAAAGACACATCAGGAATGATAGAACCCATCAATCAATATAAAAAAATAATTGACGATTTAAATTTCGAAATTTTGAAATCGGAATCTAAACTTCAAGAGAAGGCCGATAAACTTGTCGATTTGGAAGAGAAGGCCGAAAAATATGAAAATATTATAAGTGAGAAAGAAGAGCACATCTCTCGGCTAGAGTCCAAAATTGAAAACGATCAAGCCAAGATAAAAGAAATGTATGAAAAATTATCTAAGTTCACCCTTGATGCTGAAAGTTGCCAAAATCCAAGTGAACCACAGGTTTTCCTTAACTGCACCAAGATCCCATCCATTAAAATGATAACGCTTTCTGGTTGGGCCCCTTTTGCAGCGGTTTTTGAGGATATACCTGGGGCCGGTCCTGGCTGGATGGTCATCCAACGTCGAATTGATGGAAGTTTCGACACGAACATAAAAGAATGTTTTAATAGCGGCTGTGGAATTTATCTGGCGAATTCTGGATTGGAAATGAAAAATTGCACAATCTAACAGCAAGTCGAAGGCACGAATTGTATATTCATCTTGTTGATTTTGACGATGTATCTGCTTTTGCTAGATATGATGACTTTGCTGTCCAACCCAATGATCGTTTTTACCAGTTGATTTCCCTTGGTAAATACTCAGGAAATGCTGGTGATGCTTTGCGGACCCATTTAAAAAAAGGTCCATATAATGCATGGTGGGGTGGGAGTGATTGGTATGAAAAATATTTTGAATGGTTTCTTAAAAATCTCTTCAACTTGAACAAATCTCTTAAACCTCGAGCCTTGCAGTGAATTTAATTTAATTATTTCGAAAAGAATAATTGCATAACATTTTTGTACGCTTTTCTATCTCCAAATAATTTACTCTATACGGTATATGAGGGATTGGAACTTTTTGGAGGATTTTTGAATACCCAATTTTATTACAATTTCTGATGACAATGTTCAATATATTCTATATAATAATTCTTATTTTTCAGTAATTTAAACGGAAAGTACTACGAATCTAAAGTTGAAGTGGTTGGATCGGATGGAATTTGGTGGGGTCGTTGGAATATGGGGACAAGAATTTCTCTCAAATCGTGTAAAATGCTTATCAGGCCAAAGCCCTGAACAAATATTGAGAAGTTGAGGAGGTTAAACTCCAATAAATATACACAGAAATATATCTAAAGCTAATTTAATGGAGTTTCTAACAAGGAACAATATAGCACATGTATATAAATATATCTTGTGAGAGATTTCTGAAACACCCCGGAATGTCATCATATCAAAATAAGAAATTAATCAAATTAAATAAAATATATTTTTTGAAATTATCTTAATCTTTGATTTAGATGTTATTTCGTTTTTGGTTGAAATGTAAACAAGAAAGGCAAGCCAAAGTTTATATTCCCTTGCAGTTATTACAAAACGATTACATTTCTATGCTTATATTACTAAAATAATGAAGCTATGTCGATTTTGCGCTGCATTTCGCCATCGTTTCAATGGCAGCTATATGATATTGTTGTCCGATTTTGACAAAACTAAAAGGGTAATTCTGATATAATACAGTTACAGATACAGTTATCTCAAAGGAATATTTTTATAAACAGCAAAAACAAATTTTTTTTTCCTTTTTAATTTTTATTTATTTATTGAGTTTCCTATGGGAGTTATAATTTAAATAAAACCGTAATTCCATAGTACTTAAATATTACCAAATCTCAAAGAAAAAAAAAAACAACAAAGTTATACTTTTTAAAATTTGTTTTCTATTGCTCCTATGGGAGCTATATGATATAGGCAATAGAAAGACAATTTTTGGGAAAGTTTCAAACAAATAGCTTTAAAACTGAGGGATTAGTTTGCGTAGAAACGAACAGACGGACGGACGAACGGACAGACGGACATGGCTAGATCGACTCTCCTGGTTTTCCTGATCAAGAATATACATATATACTTTATAGGGTCGGAAACGTCTCCTTCATTGCGTTGCAAACTTTTGACTGAAATTATAATATCCTCTGCAAGGTTATAAAAATGGGATTTTGGGATCCAAAGTTGATGTAACTTTTAGGAATTCCCCTCACATTTTCAAAAAACTTTCCAATCAGCTGTAATTTTAGCACATCCATTGGCTGGTGTGGTATTTTAGCGCTTGCAACAAGCTGCCACACTAAAATCTGCCACAAGAATTGCCACGAAGAACTGAACTAATTTGTTGGCACAATTAAAACGGGGCTCAAAAGCGCTGTAAAAGTCAGTATCCGGTTTTGGAATAGAGGTTGACGAAGTCTAACGATGGGCTCCAGCCACAGCATCCATGTTCCCGGTGGCGGCACCGAAGGTAAGTGGAGGCCAACTTCCCCGATTCCGAGCACGGACCACGTAAACGTAAACCTGCCGCTGGTCCAATCAGAAACAAGAACTCTACACGAGCATAGTGGGCTGTGGAATACCCACTATTTATTGGCCCGCAGTAAAATGTGTAGCTTAACTTTAAAGGCATTTCCTTAAATATAACTAGATTAAATAAGTAGAGGTATTTATGTATGTACATACGTAAATATTTTCAATACAACATTTTTGAGCTTTATAACAATGACCATAAAACGCCAAACTTTAATGAGGGTATAGAAATTATCTAATGTTTTTTCTTTATAAGTAAAAATCTTTTCAGCAAATAATCCACCCGAAAGTAAACCCTCTTTAATAAAATATATGTACTTCTTCAATAAACATCCAGAATAACCCAGAATTCGGTTTTGCAGGTTACCATGTACTCAAAGTGCAGGACAATTCGCCTGGTCAAAAGGCCGGACTAGAGGCCTTCTTCGATTTCATTGTGGCGATTGCCGGGACACGTCTGGACCAGGACAACGATATGCTGAAGGAACTGCTGCGCCAGAACGTGGACAAGCCAGTGCGGCTAACCGTATATTCCAGCAAGACGCAGGCGGTGCGCGAACTTACCCTCACTCCTAGTAACAGCTGGGGAGGTCAGGGACTGCTGGGCGTCAGTATCCGGTTCTGCTCCTTCGAGGGCGCCAACGAGAGCGTCTGGCACATCCTCGAAGTGCATCCCAATTCGCCCGCCGAGCTGGCTGGATTACGAGCCTACAGCGACTATGTCATCGGAGCAGATGCCATTCGGCACGAGAACGACGACCTGTTCACCCTGATCGAAACGCACGAGCAGCAGCCGCTGAAGATGTATGTCTACAATTTGGACGACGACGCATGTCGCGAGGTCACCATCAAGCCGAATACCGCCTGGGGCGGCGAGGGAGCCCTGGGCTGTGGCATAGGTTTCGGCTACCTGCACCGCATCCCCGTGCAGGCGGATACCGTCGCCGGTGGCCCTGCTCCTTCTGCTGTCTCGTCGGAGTCCTCTGTTCCGTTGCTGACTGCTGGAGGAATGACTCCAGCTGTTGCACCTGTAGCTAATGCTGGATCCGCTGTGGTCTCACCAACGCTGCCTTACATACCGCCTCTGGCCAACACCTTTGGAGCCTCGAACGCAGAGGTCAGACCACCAACCATCGAGCCGCCAGCACAGAGCCTGTTTAAGACATACTTCAATCCGGATGAGGCCACCGATGCCCTCACCGCAGCGCTGGAAACGCAGGCCAACATTGTCGAACCCATTCCAGTCCCTGCTGCAGTCGCTGACGTGTCTGTGGCGCAAGTACAGGTTCCCGCACCAGCGCAACCCTTGCCGCCGCCAGCCAAACTCTTTATTCCCGGGGTTTTTGATCCCAACACACCACAAAATGCCACTTTGGGAGGAATACCCGCCGCCCAGCTGCCATTTCCACAGGCCACGGCAGCGCCAGCGGCTGTGCCCATGTTCTCAGCACCGCAACAGGCGTATATGTCGGCTCCGGCTGTCCTCTCCTATCCAGCTGGCGCCCAGACAGTACCCTCTTATCCCCAGGTGCAGCCCTCCATGGGCGGACTCTTTCCGACGCAGCCAACGCCGTTGCCGCCACAAATGGCCCATGTGTTCGCGCCACCAGTACCACCGCCCGCCAGTGCTGCTCCTGCGGCAGACAACGAACCATCGGCACCGGCAATAAACCAGGCCGGCAACTAAGACTTCAACTGGGCTAATTGACCAACTGCTAAACCTGGACAAATTGTCGTTAAGCTTTTATTTTGCGAGTATCATCTGATTGTTTTGTATGATGATTGCGTTAGCATGAAACACAAGTGGCAAGAGGAGGTGCCAGCTGCATGCAAAAATGTGTACATTGCATTCATAATAATAATCTAAATTAATTATTATAATAAATAAACAAATATATATATGTATTTTAGGTCTTTACACGGAACGGACCACTTGTCATATATGGTTTAAGAGATAACCTTTCGAAAGAAAAAGAAATAATTTTGAGTTCTCGAGTCAAGACAGCATATAATTTGTAGCAAAAATATTTTGCACCTTTTGAAAGAATGTTGTCATATCATAATAACAAATATAATTTTTTAAGTAATTTATTCTAGCTATGAAGAGCGTTTGTGGTGAGTTGGTTTTAGTGCTTTCAAGAACTTGTCATGAAAGCTGGAAAGGTCCTTTGCCATCGTTCGCATGACGTTGAGAGTTTCTCTTTGAAGAGCCAACATTTCTTCTCCCATTGCTTTGGCCCGTTTGTGCTTATAGCGTTTAGCGTTGAGTTCAGGAAAAACAAATTCAATCGACCGCTCTGATTCATTTTCCGAATGGATGCTTTCAGTTGTGTTTTCATCAGAGAGACTGCTCTCTGAAAAGAATATATTAGCATAATAAGCAATATGTAAACACTAACTAGGCAAACTATGTAGGTCTTTGTTTATCCTTAATTGTGATTAGGTTATTCTTATACTTTTTTCTTACCCAAATGCAAGTTTATCGATGGTTCTTCCTCATCGCTGTCGTCATACACCTCATCATGGGGACGTTTGCTGTTTTTACGATTGACGTCTGGCTCAGGGAACTCAAATTCAAAAGACGAATCTGAATATTCATTTTCGGATTGGTTTCCCTTGGGTGATTCCTTTTTAACAGGACTGCTTTCTGTAATAAATAAAGGGTCATAAGCATATAATGGTAGGGGTTTAAAAGGAGATTTCTCGGTATGCATAAATATTCATTTGGACATGCTTTTATGCCTATTCTAAAAGCAAGTGATTTGGGAATTGTTCTTTCAATGGTTTTGGTCGTTTTTTCATGTCTATGAGCCTTCGTTGTCTTAAAAAAAAATTGAATGCTAACAACAAAAATGAGAAAACTATGGCATAGTAGCTTGCAACTTACTATTATGGCTTGACTTTGGCATGCTCTCTTCATCGCTTTCGAATTCATCGTCATTGTATTCCATAATATGTCGCATTTGGGAAAAGTACTCCCAATTAGAGCGTTTACTACCTGATAAACTAAGAATTTGGAATTCCTTGCTGTACAAAAACAATAAAACAGAAAGACGATGTTTTCATTTGGATACATAATTCAATGTATCATTAAATACCGGTATTTTTTCTTCATGTTGTCCATTTTCGCTTTTATTTCCAGCATAGAAAGCCCGTAATCCTTCATAGATTCCGCCATTTCCCTCATGATATGAGAGTTTTTTCGACGTCCATAAAAATCGGAAAGGTTTTCCATCCACATTTCCAAAAGGCATTCCGTAGAATCCGCCGTCCACACGAAATACTTTTTTCTTGAAAAAGTTTCTTCTCCGCAGATATATGTATGTATAAGTAATGATAAGTTTTATTAATATATGTGTGCAAATTAACGACAAATAACATTATTTATCGAGTTTGTTACCTTTACTAGTCCTCGGCATTATTTCCTCTACAGCTGTTTCCTGGATTTGTTGACATTAGAGTAGACCGATCCGTCGGAACTGGTTCCGATAACTCAATGAACAAAATTTTAGTTCTAGTTCCGTAATTTTTTAAAATTCTTAAACATGATTTTTGAAACATTTAATAAATTTTATATATATATGTATATGTAATATAAAATATTAAACAAGCCGAAGTTTATGTACCCCTGCAGCTGCTACAAAATTAAATGTTCTAAAAAACGTATATGTTCAAGAACAATAAAGCTGTGTTGATTTTTGATCGTTGGCATAGAAATCGAAATAAAGTCGTTTTGTTAAGAACTGCAAAATTATATAAACTTCAGCTTCCCGAAGTTTGCTTCCTTTCTTGTTTTATATTTAAAATAGTTTCAAAACTGAGATTTATAGATCGGATTCCCCTTAACTGGATTTTAATACGTTAAGCAAGGGTATAAAAACAATTTAGTACTGTTGCATAACAATATAGTTATTTCAACATTCTTTCTTAGGATTTACCAAGCAAGAGATTGTCACACAGCTTCTTCTTTTCATTTGGATCTCTTTCTAAACTTCCTTAAAACATTTTTATTTAAATTTTTACTAATAAAAAAAACTAAGCTGTTCTTGAGTTTAAACTTAAATAGGTAAAATAATTATTATCTCTTTTGATTTAAAACAACACTTAATAAATGACCATTACTTATTTGACTCTTTTTTCACTGGAAAAAAAAAACCAGGCTTAAAAACTTTAAAAATATTCAGGGCTCAACAACGAATTTATTTTTCTGTATTTAACATAATTACTTATTTACACACTTTCCATAACAAGAAAATCTATGATAAATTATTTGCTGAAAGTAAAATGTGTGAAAGTTCATTATTAATTTTTGTTAAATATTAAGGAATTAAAAATATAAAACTGGGTGAGCTAAGGAAATTTCAAAAGGCGTTTTCATCTAAGGCGTTTTAACAGTTTCAAATTAAATAAAAATGTTACACTTTGGGAATAATTATTTAAATTAATTTAATGGTAAACAAAATATTGACATTCGATTTTTCAAATTCAGTTAACTCCAAGCTCAAAGTAAATGCAATAGAAAAATGCATGACATCCATTTAAAAATAAAAAAGAAACTTACGAACACCTTGGACAAACTCAAGTGAAATTGGTCAGTTAATGCGGTTAAGCTCTTTAGAAAAGCAGGTGATTTACGGATCTCAGGTTAGCTCATTCTACAGCTTTAAAATAAATCAAATTGCAGCTTAAAGCGATTGTACAGCACATAAAAAGAAAAGAATAATTACATCTATAATATGGCATTTATGCCAGCATTTAAAGGCGATATCTATAACTAATTTGGTAGGCACCTGGTCTGAAAGTACTTTTCATCGACGAAACGACAGAACTCGACCAGGTGCTTGAACTTCTGAACCGTCTGGGCAAGCGCCATATTGGGCAGATTGGTGGTGAGGATACTAAAGAGGTGACCGAAGGCGATGGCGTCGAGCTCGCAGGGTTGATCGCCGTAGAAGAAGGGTGAAGGTGACTCCTTCAGCTTGTACTCCAGGGTTTCACAGCACTTGGCCACCTTCTCGATGACATTGTCGATGTCCAAGTCATCCCACTGGTAGACCTTTAGCAAACGCAGAGCATTTCGTCGCTTGCCATAGTTCTGCATGTGATTGAGAGGCCAGGGAAAGACGACCCCATTTCTGGGGGCCGTGACCTCCTTGTAGACGCGCTCGTTTTTGAAGCTAATGTACAGTTCGGCCATGGTGAAGATGTTCTCCACCAGCGACACATAAGTACGCATATCGGCCTTCTCGTCCTCATCTTGCCAGCTGCCAATGGCCATATCCTTTTGCTCTACAAAGTTAACAATTGGCTCGAACTCCGCGAAGATAAATGCCCCAGCGCGAATGAAGGGCAACTTGGTCATTCTGCCGCCCGGCGACATGTGCTCAGCATTGGCGCAGGACCGGATCCCAAAAGGCAGGTTGCACATCTTCAGGTAAGCCTTTACCGCCAGGCAACTAGCGTTCTCCGGCAGCAGGATCTGCTCCGCCTCATAGGGCTTTTAGTTCGGGATGACATGCAAATGGGATATGTAACTAAACTCGGTGTTTTGGTGACCCTACTCACCTGGTAGAGGGTGGCGTCTTCAGGCCATGGCTCTGCGGCCAGTTTATCGGCCGTGTTCAGTTGGCTTAGGTACTGGGATGTCATTTTCCTAAATCTCCACACAAAACTTGCCGATGAAGTAATAAACAGCTGTTTGCAATGGCGGCATTGCCAGACTGAAAGAAAAACGACAGTAGGCCGTTTAATAAGTATGTTAATATCCAAAAATATATAAATTATATATTTAAAAATTACATGAGAAACTTTTTTACAAGTTTTGTAAAACAATATTTATTTCGTAAAGGTTTTTGATTTAATGGGTTTCAACAACAAAATTGTAGAGCTTAAAAAAACTGTTTTTAGGGGACCGTTAATTTACTGCCTTTTCCATTATTTGATCGAATAAAAGTTGTAGATCAAGTAAACAATTGATAAGATAGAAAATAGGCATCATCGATAGTAACTTGAGCACTTTTCTTTAATTGAAAACACCCTTAAAATATTTTGCAAACAACTAAGTCTTTTCCATAACTTTTTAAAGTTAAATAAAAACCATTTATTTACTATTATTATTATTGTACAATAAATAAGTTTATTTGAGTATTGGAAAAAAAAGAAAATTAGCTTTTCAGTTGTTGGTATTTAAATGGTATTATTTGTAACTGAAACTGTATATAATGGTATTTATTTTTTAAGTCGGATGGTATTTTTAAATCGTTATCGGCGCGTTCACACTGCTTGCTATTCTTATTTCGTTTCGCCTAGTGTTTTTCGTTGTATTTTACTTTGTTTCAAAGTTCGTAAGTCACACGTTGTAAAAAATATTAAAAATCTGTATTGCATTGTATAAACTGCTGGGCACGTGACTCTCCACAAAATAGTTTTCAAAACATCGTAGTTTTTGGATAATTTTGCATATTAGAAAGGTGAGTGCGCGGCGTTGGTTTGAGAGAGTGTGTGTGCGTGCATCGTTTCGATGAATGTTATCAATAATAAACTATAGTTAACTACAGTTATTTAATAGTAGTTAGCGTTGTTAGCAAAAATTTGGTTATCTGCACGCCAAGAACCACTCCCAAAAAATTGCACTTGAAAATCAGTGACGATTCATGTGCCGGCCATAGAGTGCGTGTGTGTGTGTGGTAGCTGGTGTGTGTGATTCATACGTCTGGGGTCTTAACATTCTTTATCAAAAAAAAAGTGGCATGGTTCGTAATTTTTCCTGAATTATCCCCACACTTTAGCGGGGGGTCGTCTATCTCTCTCTTTTGCTTCCCTTTCCCCCTCCCTCTACCTCTCCGTATCTCTCTTTCCCCAATTCTCGCATTTTTGTTTGGAATTTAAAATTTCTGTTTGGTTTGGTCAGATTGTTCTTGAAATTACCTTTTCTCACCCAACCTTAAATATTTCGATTGTATTTATTAGCCCAAACTTTCGTTGTTAGTCCAAAAAATGTTTATTATTTTTTTCCAATTCCCACACATACACAGAAAAAAACTAAGTGTTTTTAAGTGTAGATTTTTCATATTAAAATACACCAAATAATTTTAGATTTGCTAATTTTTTAGAAATGCAACTACATAAATGTTGTTCTTTTCCGAAATTTATAAGATATAAAGGAACAGGTGTTTGAATTATTTTATGTTTTTTCCTAGTGTTATTTAAAATTAGCTTAAACTTTAACTACGTTTCAAAGATAAATTTTCCAAAATTGTAAATTGTTTTTTTGGTTGTGTAAAACATACAGATCTAGATTACAATAAAGTCAGCAACAGCACTAGTATTCACTATGTATTTAAAAAAAATATATTAAGTTATATTTTGTAATATATAACCATGTATAATAATAATATTATAATACATGAGAATTCAACAAAATGCATTTAAATTACTCTTAACAGATATGAAAAACTGGAAAATATATATAAAATAATTATTAAACTGATCCTTATTAGTACTTTTCTGTGTACACATGTGCCTGCCAAATTGTTTGTATAGATACATTTTTATTATCTCACAACAACTTGATGTCAAGTAATAACATTTCAATTTGATGTACTTTTTGCTCTGAACGAATATATAAAGCCAAATCTGGAGAGCTGAGAATCATTATTGGCCAACATTTGTTGAAAATAGACATAAAGCAAGCGACGTGTATTTAGATAATGAAAAACAAAGCAAGATAATAATAAAGGCGTTGGCGGGGGGCGGAGGGTTATCGTTTTTTGTCGCCCGTACTGGTCAATAATATTCAATGCCGATATCCGCTCTCTCTCTGTCTATCGTAAGCTCTTGCCTTATCTGCCACTCTGTATTTGGTTGGACCTTTTTTTCATTTCCCATGCGGCCCAGCTGCAAGTCGACCGCCCCTTTGCCCGCCCCGGTGCCAATCAACACGTCAGTCCATCAATGCGTTAATAATTGAAATTTAATCAATAGTATTGAACGGCTAACATTTGCTTGGTACAGAAGTGTTGGTGTTGCCAAAAAAATGAATAAATCCGCTCGATGTTTACTTAATGATAACGGAATAATCAGCTTTGAATTTATTTATTTTCGATGTTAACAATTTTAACCTTTTTTTATTTACTTATTAAACTTTTTAACTAGAAACCATATAAAATTTGATTTTAGGGGTGAAGAAAAAAGATATTACCAAAGTTTGCATGACAAAATATTACTTGAAGAGTCTAAAAATATTTTGAAGCTGTAAAAACATTAAAATGGACACATTTTGCGATACTCAAGCTTATATATTGCTTTTTTTTTATTAAATCTACAAAAAAAGGAGGTTTTCCCCTTTACTTGATTCAGTAATAGTTCCATTCTTTCCGAAAGTATGTACAAGCATGCAAACCGCGTTTTTTCATCATTATCATCAACATGTTAGTCACACTACTAAAAATATGCGTATGACCCACATTCTTCTATCAGAGAGAAGGATGGGAAATTCTAAACAAAATCTCAGGCAGCAATTTAACAATAGCACCTACAGAAATTAAGACTCATGCTTCTCTTTAAAATGTAATTGATTGATAAATAAACAATTTCGCTTGGACAGTTCTAGAATAGAAGCCATGGCCGAAACCGAGACGAAGCACCATCCCGAGCACCACGATGAGGATGTTCATGATGCCAACTACCAGGCACCGCCGGAGAAGACCATCGAGGAGATAATGGCCGCCGATCAGGAGGATGAGAGCTTGCGGCGCTACAAGGAGACCCTTTTGGGAGCTGCTCAGGCCGAGAAAATTATTGTTGGTAAGGCAGTAGGTCTCTAAATATAAAACCCAAAGTTTAAAATATCTCCCATTATGTCCAGAACCCAATGATCCCCGGAAAGTGATTGTTAAGAAACTGGCCCTCGTCGTAGAGGGACGCCCCGACATGGAATTGGATCTTACCGGTGACCTTACTCAGCTCAAAAAGCAGGTAAATTAATAAAATATATCTACCCATAATTACATGCACTAACTTACTAACTTTACCCATTATGACAGCTATTTGTGATCAAGGAAGGTGTTCAATACAAGGTGCGAATAGATTTTATTGTGCAACGTGAAATTGTCCATGGCCTTAAGTATGTACAAAAGACTTCTCGCTTGGGTGTTACTGGTAAGTCGGTCAATTTGTATTACATAATGTTGTTTTGTCTGAAATAAAACAAAAGACAGTTTGATAAACTGATTTTTAGTTTGAAGCTAAGTAATTTTATTTAGATCCTTAACAATTTACTTAGTTCATATGACCCTAGCCATAAAGTTCAGCTCAGTTCTTATTGGATTATTATTAATTATTTATAAAACAAATAAAATAAGTTTTAGAAATTTTTTTTTTTGGAAAAATGGCTTAAAAGTCTAGAAGAATACAATTAACCGTGAGTTATATGCCATCTGTATTTGTGAGTACCGTGCACAGTTCAAGCACTTTTGGGACTTCAATTTCCCAGAGGCCGCAGAACAATTGATAGTTTTACACCTTAGTTCTTTGTTAACTTTTGAGCGAAACAGTCGCATTTTGTGCTTAGAAATAAATATGGGAACAAGCTGGTTTAATGGCACGACCCTGTTGTTTGGATTTTGCAGTGCTGTTTATATATTTTTTTTAACCTTTGCAATTTTAACTTTAGTTATGTGTTGAGACTAACTTTTATCAATATCCTATATCCTCCAATGCCAAACCCCAATTTCGGATTGTTTAATTTTTTAAGTTGTGGGTAAGATGGCGCTGGATGTCCTAAAACGTAATTCTTTGCTAAACCTAATATTTTCATATCATTCTCTAGTTGACAAAATGAAGCATATGGTTGGCTCCTATCCGCCTAAGAAGGAAATTCAATTTTATTTGACGCCTGCCGAGGAGGCACCCTCTGGCACACTTTCCCGCGGCACCTACTCGGTCAGGTCGGTCTTCACGGATGACGACAAGCATATACATCTGGAGTGGGACTGGACCTTTGAGATTAAAAAGGACTGGGCCTAAGAAACATCAAACAGCACACAGACACACACACGACATACGCTTTTTGTTTTTCCCAACACATCTTGTAAATGAGTTTATTTTTGTTCCAAAAGTTTAAGCGATATTTTCCAAAATGCAATTGATCGTCAAGTATTTTTGTTAACGGTATTAAATTTGAACTATTTTTGTATCTAAAGTGTAATGTAAAACCATGATAAGTATTTTTGATAACCATTGATAATTGAATGTGTGCAGATGATGAGCAATTCTCGCCTAAGTCCTCAATAATAAGACGCCAAGTCGATCAGTCAAGTCAGAACCAAGTCAAGTCACTAGGCCAGTCAGTCAGTCGTTTGATTGGAAATGCCATTGCCTATGTTTAACATACTTTTTCAAACGGATTAACATTGAGTAATGAACTTTAAGAAAGTTGGTTGCATTTCGCTATGTATTTAAAATTATTGAACGGAACGGTTTATGTTAAATGTAAGATCAAGTCCCCCGAACTAAAGGAAACAATGTCCAAAGATGATTTCCGCACCGTGAGCATCAATTTAAAATCAAGCAATTCTTAATGTTAAATATAACTAAAGCTGATACTTTAAAAAGCATTTGATGTTTGTGGAGCATGCAAACACTGAAATCTACATTATTCTAACTATATACTATCTCTGTGTATTTTTTGTGTACAATATATGCGAATGCTGATTGAATGCAACCGAAGAGCAATAAAAAATAAAATATATATATTTTAAAATGAAACCTTTACTTGTGTATATGAATTTGAAAACATATAAATAATACTGAAGATGAATGGATAATAGGTTTATTATAATCACTGTTTCTCCCTTAGCCAATGATAATTCACTTATTTCACACTTTATAATGCTTATCATTTGACGTTGCCAAGGGGTAAACGTCATAAATTGTTGGCACAAGGCAAATGCACAACAATAATTACTCATACGCCATGTGCGCCTCTACCAACCAATTTCTTAAGGTGTATAGATGGGAGAAAACAACAGAAATCCAGAGAGAAATGTAAAGTTTATTTCTCTGTTTACATTCGGCCTTATCAACATGTTCCCTACTTTTTGTGGCAGGCCTGTTGCACTTGACAACATGTTGACAACTTTTTCGCCAACATTCACCGCTCTAATGCAGAAAATAATAACCAAATTTAATATTCCAACGCACATTTTTCTTAGGTATCGCGAAAACCGGCATGAATAAGTAATACTACTTGTTCGGAAATTGCGCCGGTTGCCAGAAGGAAAAGTGAGTAATTTAAGAAAAACAACAGGAACATGTTGATGGGAAAGCCTGGGGCATCCAGGTGTTTGGTGAACCTTTGAGCCTGTCACTTCTTAGGATATGGTACAAAAAAACTAAAAACGATGTCTTGGGGATACCATTCTTATTTATTTACTTGATTGTTTTCATTGTGGGAAAAACAATTACAAGATAAGGCAATACACTGGACTTTCATAACTCGAAAACACAATTGAGCACTTTGTGAAGTATAAAATAATTTTTTTTCATCGATTTTGCAGGAAACTCGTGCATCTAACCCGTGGCATTCTATCAATTTAATATATAGTTTTTTATAACAGCTTGAAAAGGTTTTCGACCTACAGAATCTATAAAAAATTCTTACTAACTGTGGTAAAATAATCAATCTTATGAAAATGCAATAACACATTTTTGGCCGCCAGTCAAGCGATTGATGCCAGCACTTAAATGTTCAGCTCATATTTGATTCAGCATCCCAGAAACCGAATCCAATTCGTTTTCTGCTTGCTTCAGCTTTATGAAACGCCAATATTTTTGCATCCACCACTCACGTCCATCTCTGTCCGTCGGGGATGTTTTGATTGACGGACGGGCCGTCGGACTTTAACCTCCGTCCGTATTGTTCATTCCGATAGAGCATTGTGTGCCGATGTGGCCTTTTAGCCCGATGCTGGCAATTGTCCACCGCCTCCTTTATGGTCCGTTGCATCCGGGGATAAAGTTCAATGAAATTTGCAGAAAAAACCGGCTAGAGTGGGGATAATAAAGTAGAAATGAAACGAAATAAAAAGGAGACCAGAAAACGCAACAGGCTAAGTGCACACATGCACACTCTAGCGAACACATGCACACGCAGGCGGAAATGCGAATGGCGGCCATTTTGTCCGCATATTGGAAAGGGTACCATTTTGTTTTTATCACTCACTGGGCGAAAACCATTTTATGTTTCTGAAATTACGTTACATATTTCTTAATTTATATGTTAACAGCTCCCTTAAATTAAGAAATATAAAAAAGTTTAACGTTCCATCACGTTTTTATTTCACATTAATGAACATTATAATATTTCTCTATCTGTATTTCTGTGTATCTTAAAAACAGGGTACTTTTTAAAGTTAGTACTTAATAGTGAACTAAACAAGGTCTACATTTTTTTTCTAGCAAACTATTAGTTATGTTAAGAATAAAATAAGAATGTACATATGTATATAGTACCGACAAGGCATCTGTTGCACTATCAAATGGGTAGAAATGCCATTAAATGCAACCGATGTCAAGCCACAGATGAATTATTCGAATGATTGTACATGGCTACTAATGAGCTTTGGATGTCTGCATTTTGTCTGCTATTTAAAAATTGTATTCACTTTGACCTATTTTTCTCATCAACAAATATTTATTACATTTTTTAATGGCTAGGGATAATTTTCACAATTATATAAAAATCTCAGAGGATTTTGAGCCAAATAACAATAGGCCGGAAAACAAAACCGTTCTTCATAAAATATGCCATATCCAACAATGAAATTAAACCTGGTCATGTGGCAAAACTAAATGTATTTTCTTTGTGCAAAATTCAACTAGTTTCATTTTAGAGCTTGTGTATGTCCACCTTTATTGGATTTTCTCTGCCTCTATAGAAAGTTTTGCTAAGCCTATTTAAACATAATTAAATCTTGCAAAGATTTGAGCAACTTTTCGGTTTCTGCTGGTCTCTAATTTAATATGCGGGTCAGCACACGGAGCAACGTGCGAAAGTTTTATCCCATTTTCTGCCAAAGGCGCATACGTGGCGTATAATGAATTTTATTTAACATTCGCTGGGGATGTCTGTGGAAAATAGATAGAAAGCAACAGGAGTTTATTGTTTTCAATATTTCATTTTCTTTAATATAATTTTATTTTTTTGTATTGCCACATTAATGTTGAACTAAAGCCTAAGTGTGAAATGTATATGGTGTTAAAGAACATAAGTAAAATAAATTTAATGATAACAAATAATTAACATTAAATTAAATTCATTAAGCAAACCCTTAAAAAAATAAACCATTAAAATTCTTTGTGTTAATTAGTCAATTTAAATAAGATATTGTTCTGCCACCCAATATATAATAAAATTCCTAATGAAATTATAAAGGATTGCTTTTTAAAATCTAAAAATTCAAGCTTCCCAATTTAAAAATGGATTTCTGTTCCATTACATCACTTTTTAAGACTTAACTCGTAAATGTTTTAAATCGCTGTTTTTATTACTTTATACTTTTGTGACTAAGTGAACCACACGCAAGTTAAGCAACTTTAATGGGGAGTGTCGAACACGTCAGAAAAGTGTGGAGTTACCCGTCGGATTTATGCCTGGCCAGCAGGACATAAAAACCAAACACAAACACCCACAATTGGCGTATATTTCTTCAAAGCTCTACTTTTTTATGTGTTTGCCCCCACCGGACAGCAAAAATAATTTGCGTTTATATTGAATTTGTTTTTTTCTGGGCTTTTCCGCTGAAGAGTCAGTCCAAAGCTGGCCAGAAATTGCATGATTTGTGAATATATTTATTCAAACGGTCTTGCGGTGAGCCCTTCATTTACATTTCGACATTGATTTTTGCTATTGGCAATCCAAGTTTGTGTTAATTTTATTCGTATTTTTTTATTTTTAAAGAGCTGTGGAGTCAAGGAAAGTTTGGTTTTCTACAGGTGTATATCTTGAAACTATACACAAAAATGTTCAACATGATTTTTCTTAAATTTTGTATATTTGTTGAACCTTAAAGTTTCGGTTAACGGAGACTTTCAGTAGAGGAAGTTGAATAGCTGAAAATAATTTTTATATTAATGTACGGATTAGTATTTTGAAAGATTACAACAAAAATGTTAAAGCATAACTTCGCTTTTGCAAAAATGTTTAATGTTATATGAATACAAAGTATAATCCATAGGAACTAAGATAAAGAAATTAGAAACTTATTTGTAACCAAGGATGATCAACTAAATCTTTTTTTCTTTATACTTTAACAACTTAGCGGTTTGCTTTATAACATTACATTTTTACATTTTTTATGCAACCAGTGTTCATTATTGTTTATGGCGTGTACACAAAAGAAATGAAATATTAATTCAAGCAATTTTACCCTTATTTCAAATTTCTGCTCAAACTTGCAGGAGAATGTGTCAAATATCAGGGGACAAAGCATACTTTCAGGCGCTTTAAAGGACGATGTCAACAAGCTGTTGCCACAACACACAAAACACATACAGTTTTCAGTCAGTTAATTGTCTACCAAAGGCACAGATCCCGAGGCAGCCTGGGTTTATTATTGTTAGGAATTCTGCTGTTGTTTCTGTTGACTCTGCAGTTCTGTAATTAAGTAGTGCGCACTAATTAAAGAACATTTCGTAATTAGGCTTTATGTCCTAGCCAACGGGCGATATATCTTGCACCAAGTGTGTGAAAAATTTAAACCATATTGGACCTAGCTGTTGTTAAAATTGATTTTCCCGCACAGGAACAGCTCAAGGGAGTCCATTAAAAATGCAAAAAACGTTAGTGGCTATATTGACTATGACCCCCAGCAAATGGCATTGACTGACATTTAATAGCCGTTCATTAAATTATCATTTACCTGTTTTACTTTCACAGTACCCACCAATGCCGAAGAAGGCTGAACCTTGAAAATAATTAACTGAGAATAACTTAATGGTAAGGAGGCGACTTTTAAAGTTTTTATAGGGGCAGCTGGAAAATAACCAGTTATAACATCTATTTTAATTTTTATACCCTTGCAGAGGGTATTATAATTTTGGTCAAAAGTGTGCAACGCAGTGAAGGAGACATCTCCGACCCTATAAAGTATATATATTCTTGATCAGGATCACCTCCTGAGTTGATATAGCCATGTCCGTCTGTCCGTCTGTCCGTCTGTCCGTCTGTCCGTCTGTCCGTTTGTTCTGTTTCTACGCGAACTAGTCTCTCAGTTTTAAAGATATCGAATTGAAACTTTGCACACCCTTCTTTCTTTGCACGCAGTATATAAGTCGGAACGGCCGGGATCGGCCGACTATATCCTATAGCTGCCATATAACTGATTGATCGGAAATGCCATAACTCTGCTGTTTGTTAGGTTAGGAAGTTGGGACTTTCTATGGGTTTTATATTTGGCCAATCAATCCGACGTACCAAATTTTATAAGGATCGGCCGACTATATCTTATAGCTGCCATATAACTGATTGATCGGAAATGCCATAACTTTGGTGTTTGTAAGTTGGAAGTTGGGATTTTTATGGGTTTTATATTTGGCCAATCAATCCGACGTACCAATTTCATAAGGATCGGCCGACTATATCTTATAGCTGCCATATAACTGATTGATCGGAAATGCCATAACTTTGGTGTTTGTAAAGTTAGGAAGTTGGGATTTTCTATGGGTTTTATTTTTGGCCAATCAATCAGACGTACCAAATTTCATAA